TATACAATCTAATTTAGATTAAAAACTGCTCATGTTGCATGTATGCAGCATCTTTGTTTGGATCATGATTAAAATGCAGTGGTTGCCTCTAATTTTAAATGGAAAGTGCACAGACAAAGCATTATTTTGTTTATATGACGAGATTTCTTTTATTTGTGTTACTTATTAATTTGATTTGGGCTTGTTTTAAAATTTCAATGTAGTTTTGTTATTTACATTTACATTATATTTAAATGTTGTCATTTAGCAGACACTTTTGTCCAAACGACTTCGGACAATAGAAGCAATCAAAACCAACAAAAGAGCAATAATATGCAAGTGCTATATTAGTATATTATTATAGTGTTATATTTCAATTTCACAAAGAAACGTGCAGCATTTTGTCCAAGCAATAATAAAAGGACAAATTTAATTGATAATTTGTCTTAAATGTCATTGTCTTAAAACTCAAAAATCGTGAATCGAATCCTTAAATCTCATTTTGTAAAAAAAATTAAATAATAACCGTGAATCGAATCGAATCGTGAAATCAAAACCGTGAATCGAATCGTGAGTTGAGTGAATCGTTACATCCCTATTAGGCATATATATATACAGTGCAAATGTAATTTCCCAATGCAATAGGATGACAATTTTTTAAACCATGTGTACCCAACAAAGTTAAAAAGGCTTTTTTTACGCAAAGGCAAAAAAAATGAGTAGGGGCCGGGGGTCATCCTCTGTTGTCTGGGACACATCAAGAATCATTGGGTTTACAACACAAATTGGATTCACTGTGGCTGCATTATATAATTTTTTCAATGATTCAATAACAAAAACATGAACCCTTCTACATCTATAAACATTGCTGACCATTTGTGACTATCACCAGAGACAAATGTGAATGGTATTTTATTTAACTACATTCTCTCTGCCAGCTTGTTTTCAAGATGACTGACCCACCCTTTCTAAATACCGGAGGAAAAAACTGTACAGGAGCTAAAATGGCTGCACAGGGCTCACAGAAACAAGGCAAAAGAACCTTAACTGGCAAAGTGTGTATGGATACCACATTATATTCAGCTGCCTTTCAATAAGAAAACATTGTTTATGCTACTAAAAGCCATTTTAAGATTGTGCTTCTAGATGTTCCAAAGCACTGGTTAGGGAGGGGGGAATATGAGACAGAGAGAGAGAGAGGGAGAGAGAGAGAGAGAGAGACAACACTCAAACGCATCTGATTGGCTGAGGGTCTCTGAAACCACCCAATCAGGAAGCAGAAGAGGAGCAGGCATCTCAGCAACTGTTTTTTTAGTCTAGGTACATATAATAGCACAAGAGCTAAAGGCCCCAGAAAACCAAAAGCACACTGTATTTTCTACATTTAGATTAAAAACAAAACAAAAAAAATCAATACACAGAAAGAAATATTTTCCTTTTAAAATGCATTGATCACAATGAGCTCCAATGTGTGTATGCATGGGTTCAGGAATAGAAACCACCTCTAAAATGAGGCACGACAGAGCTCATGTATGAAATAAATATCTAATTAACTAAAACTACAAATTACAAACTACAAACATTTGGCCAAAGCATATTGATTCTATGTTGCTAAAAAAAAGCATCACAACAGTAGATTGCATAATATTCTTTTAAAAGCAATGCAGGTCATAAAAACATTGGAACTGTTGCTGTCAATCTTCACAATCAAAAAGTATTCAATACAGATATTTTAAGTCACAATTTTTAAATACATTACTTTGGCAAAAAGGATTTATACACTGGTTGTATATATATATATATATATATATAAACAGTTGTGATAAAAAATGCTTTGCATATTTGCCATTATGTCTTGATTTGTGGTACAGTTTCGCTGAAATTAACATTCAGTTAAAACTCCACCACTTTCTACATTTTGATACTAAAATGCTTCAGTGCATTTAAACTATTTTCATACATGCTAAACTTAAAAAAAAGTTTCGACTTTCTAAGCTTGTCCTTTGTCTCTGGACAAAGACACACATTGACTTTAGATAAGGAGTTGGGTGAGTCACAGAAAGATCAGGTTTCACATAGTTCAAGGCAGACAAAAATAAAACCTGAAAACATACTAGGAAAATGTCGGACAGGCCCAATCATATGCTTGCAGTTGCCAGCAAGCTCTTCAATAACTACAAAAAAAGACATTTCCTTTCTGAGGTCTTCCAAACAAACACACACACAACTGTTTGACTGTTTTTAAGCATAAAAATGTTTATATACATGGCCAGTCATAATTTTTTACAACAAAATAAGACATGTCCAACAGTTTCCCCCCAAACACTATTCTTATACAAATAGTTTTACAGTTTACACTACAATCATGTATTATCTGACCCAGTCCATGCAAATAGCAGGTGGATACCATTTCAAGAATGTGTGAATCCTATCAGGCACAGTTATGGACAGTCTTTGTTTCGGGTCCTGAAGATATCAAATTTATCAACGAACAGACAGGACAGTATGCTGCCAGAGGACCTCTAAAATAATGTAATGTGTGTATACGTAAAAGTAACCCTCAGTATGGAGTACGCGGCCTTGCCACAACAGCAGGCGTTTCCTCACGGTTAATTTTACCCGAACAACAAATGTTAATTCTTTACAGCGTTTTCTCACATATATACATATATATATATATATATATGCTATCCGCAGTAACGTGAGCGAATCATGTCGAGTTCCACTCGCTCTCAGTTGCCTTCTCTTCCTTGTCGTTTCCACTCACTTGTTGTTGAAATAAAAATGGAGGCTAAAAAAAGGAAAGGCGAGTTCCCCTTAGAAATACCACCCATTTCTCATGGATGGAGTTGGGGGTTGGTTGATGGGGGAGGCGGATGTGAAGAATGAGAAAAGCAAGTCACGGTTCTCGGGGTTCGCATTATTTTCGTTTCCAAAAGAAAACATAACGTACCAGATCAAGAAATTCTAAACGCATCATAAAGTTTTCTCATAGTCAACAAGATGAAAGCAGTCTATATCAAAAACAGAGACATACATATCAGAGCAGAGGGCACTCTGTGCGGTCTTCAAATGTTCACGTTGAGTTGCTAAAGAATACATTAATATACAATGTTATTTTACAAAATAATAGTCGGTATTTATATGGGTATGTTCAGCACTTGGTGATTCAAGACTGTGATTCAATCTCATGTCCTTTACATTTGCAGTATTGCCCATCCCCCTCTCTACACCGGCATCGACCGCGGCTCCCAGCGAAGCCTACACACAACCATAATACAGGGTTTCCTCCACAGCGGAGCAGGGGTTCATTAGGAGGGCGGACTTTTAGCTCTAGCTCGCGCCCTCTGGTATGCTATAGGGTAGAAATGTGTCAATCGCTGTAACAAACAGGAACGCGCATATGCCGTTGGATCACTGCGTAGCTAACTGTTGTCGTAGACAGAAAAGAGGCAGAGCCTTGTTTTTTGGAGGTGGCACACTTCTCTAGTCAGCATTTTGCAGCGTGAGGTGGCGTTGAGAGGCTGCAGGAGTTGTAAGTTTGGAAGACTAACAGCTAGTTAAAATGGATACTCTCAAAAGAAGGGACCGAGGATTTGTGGAAAGATGTTGTTTTACTAAATACACACGCCGTGGAGTTCAATGGTCTTTCATATAAGGAATATTTTTTTCTTTTATCCGTGTAAAAGGGAATAACAGTGTTCTGGTATACAGCTGTAGCAACACGGGGTCTCCTGGGCGCTATCGCAGGGAGCACGATACTAGAGCGTCAACAATACTCATACTGTGAGGAGGAATATATGAGGGATCCAGGATTGGACTGAACGTTTGATTTGGTGCAGGATTTCATTCTATCCAAAATATTAACTCAGTTGGCGAACTGTGGTGCTTGATTTTAAAACGAGGAAGACAAGGGAGACCAAACATGGGCCAACATTATAAACCACGCTTAGAAGACCAACAAACCATATTAAATCACTTACCGTAAAGGTTTTAAATGCGATTTTCGTTGCCTTTTTAAGTCAGATGATAAAACGTTTGTTTTAAGAACAATTGCCTAAGGATTGTTGAAATATGTATGTACACTTGAAGCGGTAATTCCAATATAGTATATTTTAGAAGTTAACAAAGGAAGGCCGTTCCTGTGACGAGCAGAAAGCGTGATACCTGAACGCCCTCGGCGGTGTTGAACAGCGACTCGACAAAAGCGTACTTACATTACTCATTACTTAATCTTAATGAAACACATTAAAGTACATTTACTTTTATATGACCTTTGGACTAGGTTTAATATACGCATAGGCTGATATTTTTATTGTTATGGATCTGGAAAATGTAATGTAACTGCATGTGCCCCCGACTGAATTATGCGGCTGCGTGCGCAACTGAAGAGGACGGGCATCCGTACCATAGACTGTATAAGATCCGTACGCGTGTTATTCAGAATGTAAAATACATTTATGTAAATATATTTCTTAATATTGTAAATGTTGTATAATTGTATTCGTCTCTATCTATCTATCTATATATATATATATGAATACATATTCATTATGTACGTGTTTTGCTCAACTTATAACAGAATTAGATATTTGATTTTTTTTTTATACAAGTACCCTGGGTTTGAAACACTTTATATTTATTTGATGGGTATTTTTTCTGAGTTCCTACATTCTATCTAAAAGTCCAAATCAGTACAATAATAGAAGACAACTTAAGGACATCAACTGACATTACATCTCTCTTTAATTTTTTCTTTTAGTTTAAAAATAAAAAAAGTATATTTAGTAGTTTAACCGCCATGTCTGCCTGGGACAGAGATTCTCTTGTTAAATGTTTCTCAGTACATTTTGGTGAAGCTTATATTGTAATAAAGCAGTTAACCATTATATATCTTTTAAGCTATTAAAATGAAATGAGCAAATATATTTAAGGTATTACAAGCTTGTCTATGTACAAGAGTTTCAATAACCTAAAACATAATTTTGAGATGTTGCATATTATTGTAAACAATTAAATCACATTATTTTGAATAAGCAGAAAGTGGTTGTGTTTTATTATATTTTGAGACATTTAAAAAGTTGAAGCAATGTACGTACATATTTTTTCTTTTAGTTTAAAAATAAAAAAAAGTATATTTAGTAGTTTAACCGCCATGTCTGCCTGGGACAGAGATTCTCTTGTTAAATAAATGTTTCTCAGTACATTTTGGTGAAGCTTATATTGTAATAAAGCAGTTAACCATTATATATCTTTTAAGCTATTAAAATGAAATGAGCAAATATATTTAAGGTATTACAAGCTTGTCTATGTACAAGAGTTTCAATAACCTAAAACATAATTTTGAGATGTTGCATATTATTGTAAACAATTAAATCACATTATTTTGAATAAGCAGAAAGTGGTTGTGTTTTATTATATTTTGAGACATTTAAAAAGTTGAAGCAATGTACGTACATTTACACAATTGTGTAAAATTTGAATTGCCAGTAGTATAAAGACTGAGCACATGTCACGTAGGCTACAAGTTTGTGTTGCCACTAGTTCTTTCTATTACGGTTGCTGCATTGTAATTTTTTTGTCTAAATAATAAATGAAGTAAATTAATTTTGAGCATTCATCGTCCACACTCGCAGACAAAATTCTAGCAAATAAATTAGGTTAGACTACAGCATATATACCTGTAAAAAAGAAGTCAGTAAGTAAAAATCACCGTCTTAACAAATATTTATCTGCAATGTCACGTTTACTAACTGTAAATGTCAAAGTTATACTGTGGTAATTTCACTTTTATATGGATGTCACAACATAGCTGCAGCAACATTTTGGTTGTCAGATTATGTTGCAATTACGTAACCGTTACATAAAGCTGAGTGAATTAGTGCTAATACAGTTTCCTGTGTTTATGAATGTCTATGTGTGCAAATAGACTTGCTTGATATGCCATACGCCTCGCCTTGAATGTAGACGAGTAGGCAGCTGCCGTCCATGGAGGAATAATTAAGAAAAAAAAAGCTGTCAATCTGGACAACACATTTCTCATAGTAGACTAACATTTTATACAAAGGAAATTGTAGTAGCATTCTTTTTTTTAATGGATTTTTAAATGGATGCATTTAAAATATAGCAGCATATATACCTGTAAAAAAGAAGTCAGTAAGTAAAAATCAATGTCTTAAATATTTATCTGCAATGTCACGTTTACTAACTGTAAATGTCAAAGTTATACTGTGGTAATTTCACTTTTATATGGATGTCACAACATAGCTGCAGCAACATTTTGGTTGTCAGATTATGTTGCAATTACGTAACCGTTACATAAAGCTGAGTGAATTAGTGCTAATACAGTTTCCTGTGTTTATGAATGTCTATGTGTGCAAATAGACTTGCTTGATATGCCATACGCCTCGCCTTGAATGTAGACGAGTAGGCAGCTGCCGTCCATGGAGGAATAATTAAGAAAAAAAAAGCTGTCAATCTGGACAACACATTTCTCATAGTAGACTAACATTTTATACAAAGGAAATTGTAGTAGCATTCTTTTTTTTTAATGGATTTTTAAATGGATGCATTTAAAATATAGACCAATCTCTATGTTTGCAATCATCACAGTGGTATGAGCATTAAGTGGTGGCAGACAGCCAGGTTAATGTTGCTGTTCTATATAAGAGACATAATTTCTGTAATATGAATAAGGTCACATAATACCATCATGGAGGGAGTGTTCAGGATGAAGAGTGACGGATGAGTATTGGAATTTGGCCTATGTGCCACTACATATTTACACCATATAGTGTAACAGGAAGTCACTTCCCATGTCCAAATATGCCTACCTCCCTGCAGTACCAGAAACAATGTGTCCAAATTCACAGCAACAGTAGGCGAAAAGTACCTAGATAACTTACTACTTCCACAGAGATTCTGAAGAGGGGTATAAAATGAACACCTTAATATTCCATGATGTAAAAATACAGGAACTGTAAATGACAAGAAAGTGAAGCTACAAACAGGCTGATATTATCATCACAAAGGGATTGGGTACATTTAATTGTAAACAATAAAAAAATATTCCCACAATAAAAAAAGAAGAAACATGTTATACATTATACTTTGACAATGGCTATTTGGTTTCACAATCATCAAAACATTGGGTTCTACAGGCACATTAAGTATAACACTTGCATGTGATTATAATTCATTATACATTTTTACACACTGCTATTTAACTGACATCTCCTCTTTAAGGATTTTTTTTAGCTCTATAGAAATTTAGGGACCTGTTGATAATATCAATTAGTTGTCTTCTCACGTAACTTAAGAGCTTTAAAATGCAATTATTTAAACATACCTGTTGTGTTAAACTACTGTATGTAGGTGTTTTTCCACATGTTCACTCAGTAATTTCTTCCTTCATTAAAAAGCTGTACAAAATAAATTAAATGTAATATTTAAAAGAAAGGTTTTAAATCACATACACTTATATGAGAGGATGACAGTAATTTAATTGGCTTAATAAAAGTCACCTCATGTGGGTTGCATTGGCAGTCAAATTCTACTAATTTTATCTCAGTAATTCAACTTCTACCCTATTTTGATTGAGTAATAAATAAATCATGGCTTACTCTGCATTTCTACATGCTACACTGGTATTGATAGGGATGTGTGATACAAGCAAAAATGTAACAATATTATCGAGACCAATATACATAACAATATACAGTTTTCATGAAAACTACTTATTAAAAATTAAGAATCTTTATGAATCCAATTTCCAAGCAATGGTAGATCTAAAATTGAGATTTGTATCACTAATACTGCAATGAAACTTAATATATAGTGTTTTATTGATTACATCATCTTTATCTTGTTTTTACTGCAAGCAATGAATAAACAATACAAGTTAAGTATGTTTAGTATGATGACTTTTGTTTTGTTCTAAAGCCTCTTCTCCATTTTACATGTCGGATAACCTTCCATGACAATACTGAAAACCTTTTAGTGACTATATAGAATTCCCATTACCCCATATAATTTAATTTAATATATTCCAAGTTCTCAATTTTTGAAATAATTTACTCAGTGTGAACACTTTTCATGAGGATTAAGTGAAAGCTGTAATGTGTGTGTATTGTTTGTAAATCGGAATATTCTGCGTTGTTTGTTTTGCGTTTTGTGCGCTACCTGCAATGACAGCTAAATAGAAAGACCGTTATTTTGCGATACACTGCCTTTTCACATCGCATTCAATTCAAATTGCAAACTCACATTCACAACTGGAGTAAACTATGGTTTCTTTTGTTGTGATGCTGGAGTTTCAGAACTGCAGGAAAAATTGGCATAACCACAATAAAAACAATACACAAATAGTTATACTGATTAACAAAATTATAATGGTATATAACCCACCCCTAGGTAACAGTAACAGAAAATGTTTGCTTTTGTGTAAAGATGCATCCACGTTGTTAGGTGTCAGTGTAAGTCATCACAATTTTAACAAAAAAATTACCGAGTGCACCATTATCGTGAGGAAAACCATGCTACTGTGGGGAAACACTGACCCCGGTTCTTTCTGTGGTACATCACAAACCTACACTTTTGAAAAGTTTTCCTCAGCATTACGGTAGTTTCCTCAAAGCAGTTTCAGACTGCCCGTGACATTATTCACCATCTCCTCTTCTCCTATGATGGCAAGCACGGTGCATGAACCTGGCTCCACCTGCACACACAAACACAGTCCAAAATTAATTTCCAGGCTTCATCACACATCTTTAAAACGTCTTAAGCTGATGTGACGCAGTGCAACTTTTTCGAGCAATGTTCTTTTCCCATTGAGAATGGGTAACAATTTTCTATCTGGATACTTTAGATCAGTCGTGGGCCCTGTGTCTCACCTGGTTGCCCTTTGACGGCAACATTGCCCAAAAAGTTGCCCCATGTATCATCAGCCTTACTCTCCTTAGATTTTCAATTTTGTGTCAAATATGTATAATACATTAGCATATACAACTATAAACCATTAACTTACAGTGGGTACGGAAAGTATTCAGACCCCCTTAAATTTTTATATGCTATTTTAGGTATATTGTAAACATAAAACCTATAAAATTGTACAATCCTCACACCATTTGCCATATTAAAACAATAACTGCAATGCCATGCTAAAGCATCTTTGCATAGATGTGCCACTAACTTGTGTGTGTCCAGCATCCTGTACCAGCTTTGTAGGAAGACTGAGGCTCATAGCAAGAGCCTGCAACTCCAAAAGGTGTGCCATGTTAGTGCCTTGTAACACAATCTTCTTTGCACTAAACAGGCGCACACACACACACACACACACAAATGTGTGTTAGGTTTACATACTGTATATATTTTGATTCATTAGTGATTATTTTTTTTATACGTCTTGGTTTAAAATTTATTTTAAAAACAATAGAAGGATGAGGCCACAGTGATATCTCTTACCCAGCATGGTCCCATCTCCAGGCCATTTCCCTCCAACTGTTTTTCTCCTGCAAGGCCTGATACAAACCCACTGCAGCATGACCCACCTGCGCTGCCACCTACAGGGACACACTGCTCATCTCAAATCTATTGAAATCCGGGGACCATACACAAGACATTGTTCTCCAACAAATAAAATTAGTTGAAAAGCAAAAGTTGTGTTAGATTGACAGTATGCCCATTTCTCCAACAGTTGAGTAAACAATGCAAGGCATAATAATGAGAAACTTTCTCATAATAATTACTTATAGTTTCTGATTATTTTTACAAATTTTCCCCGTAATTATGGCTTATTGTACGCATTCACAATGCATCAGATTAAAAAGTAGAGTTAGGAGACAACTTCAAATCAACTGAACCAATTGCTTCAGAAAATGATTCAGTGCTGAAAAATCCTCACGCTGGCGACATCCGCTGGTCAAAGCCATGTAAATATAACAAGAACAAGGTAAGGCACTTTGTATAGATGCCTTTATTCACAACCTTTTAGCTTTTATATGCTCAAAACATGAACACACACATTGCATGGAAAAATAAATGCCATATAATTAATTAATAAATGCATGTTACTTAATTGGTAATTTTGTTAGATTTATTTATTAGCATAAGCAGGCACCATTGTTTGTCACCATGGCAAGCTCTTCGGCTAGAGAACACTTCACACTTGTATGTAAAAGCACCTGTACACATAAGAGCTCAATTATACTAAAAGGAATATATCTGGAAAACTATTTATATAGCATCTTTTTTTTTTTCATTGCGCATATTCATGTTTGCTTGTTAGGCACAACACGCTTGCGTTTCTCATTAGGAGATCTTAAATCATTATTATGAGAAAGAGACTCATTACGAGATACCAAATCATAATTATAAAGGTTTTTTTTTTCCTA